CCGCAGTCATTGTCCTCCTCCTCCCCCTCTTCCTCTTCCCTCCTCCTCTTCTTCCTCCTCCTCCCCTTCCCTCCTCCCCCTGCCCCCTCCCCATTCCTCTTCCTCCTCCCACTCCTGCTCCTCCCCTTCCCTCCTTTCTTCCCTGCTCCCCTCCTCCTCTTCCTCTTCGCTTCCCGCCTCCTCTTCCTCCTCTCCCTCCTCCCCTTCCCTCCTTTCCTTCCTCCTCCCCTTCCCTATTCCTCTTCTTTCTCCTCTTCCTCCTTCGCTTCCCACCTCCTCCCCCTCCTCTTCCTCCCCTCCTTTTCCCCCTCCCCTATTCCTCTTCCTCCTCCTCTTCCCTCCTCCCCCTCCTCCCTTCCCTGCTCATCTTCCTCTTCCTCCTCCCCCTCCGCTTCCTCTTCCTCCTCCCCTTCCCGCCTTTTCTTCCTCCTCCCCCTCCGCTTCCTCTTTCTCCTCTCCTTCCCTCCATTCCTTCCTCCTCCCACTCCTCTTCCTGCTCCTCCCCTTCCCTTTTTATTCCTCTTCCCTTCCTCTTCCTCCTCTTCTTCCTCCTCCACCCCTTCTTTCCTTTTCTTCCCCCCTCCTCCTCCTTTCTCTTCCTCCTCCCTTTCCCTCCTTTGTCCTCTTGCTCCTCCTCCCCCCTTCCCTCTTCCTCCTCCTCCCCTTCTTTCCTTTTCTTCTCTCCCTCCTCCCCCTCCCCACAACCCCTCTTCCTTTTAGCACTGGTGACATCCCCTAGCTGCATTACAAAACATATGCAAGAAAACCACTTAGCTCACAGTCTGCAGAGATTCTCCGTCATCCAGGTCCTAGTTGTCTTAAAGGTGGTTTGTTTTTTTTGTTTTCCAAGAGGCAACTGGACTTTCTTTCCTTTTTTTCTTTTGAAGAGAAACTTCTTCAGCTCTGACTGGATGGTGGGGAAGGGAAGGATTTATACCCCTTGCAGACAGCTGCTCATTTGCATCCTTTTAGAGGGTCATTGAGGCCACTTGGAGGCTTACCTGTGTCCTCAGGTTCGCCGGAGTGGTGCAAATGATTCCTGTAGTCTACCATTTTTTTCCCCTCTGGAAATCCATTCTTCCTCCCACCCCATTCCAAGGCTGCAACTGGCCAGCTGTCTGCAAGGAGTATTAAATCCTTCCATTCCCCTCCATCCAGTTAGAACTAAAGATAGTTTTTTTTGTTTTCCAAAGTTTTTTTATTTTTATTTTTTACACATCTCTTCATGTGCGAACCGTGGGTCCAGATTACAATATTGATACATAGTCATAGTTACACTTTCAACTTTCTTAATTAATACCGCTTCAAATTATTATACATTTTAGAAGAAATGTGTGGAATGAAAATAGAACATAGACCAGAGTTCTTTCTGCTAGGGATCAATACAAGGAAATATGATAAGGAAAATATATATCTAATAATCATGTAAGAACTGCAACAAGATTGGCGTATGTACAAAATTGGAAAAATAGAGATATCCCAAATGAATTTGAAATATTGAGGGAAATCATGAGAAGCACAGAAATGGATAAACTAGCGAGCTAAAAAATAAGGATTCGGATTATTATAAAACATGGGACAAATTTTATGGTTGGCTAAAGATGAGGAAGATTCATGCAAATAAGGAATGATTATATGTATATTTAATGTATATGGAATGAAATTATGTAATATTACTGGATTTAGCAAAGTAATGACAAAGATTGATGTTAGGAAGACTGTACCAGGTTCAACCTTTTTATTGTAATTTCTGTGTTTGTTTAATAAGGGAAAATAAAAAAAAATTATTATCCATTCGACTAATCTTTAGATAAATTTCCCTTTCATATTTCAGTTCATTAATTCAGTATCAAAATCATTTCATCCTCACGTATATTTTCAATTCTTTATCCCTTATTATTTCCATTTTCAGCTTACCACCTATTTTATGTTACCTTATGTACTGTTATCATCTATAACTTTCTCAAGACCAATATATAATTAGTCAATGAAAGAAAAAATGAGTAAAAGTAAAGTAAGATTAATACATTTAGGATCCACATGGTATATCCCCCTCCCAACTATCTTATATATCTTATATATATTCCAGAGATATTCATATAATCATTTCATTTTTTTCCCTTTGTTTCCACTTAGCCAAAAATACAGTATAATATGTTCATTATAAACATTTTACATTCCCACATAATCCCTTCTAGTTCATTATGTTTTCTATTTTCTCATACTCTTTGTATTGCATTTGCTATTATATGTATAAAGGAAAAAAATAAAAACAGTTAATTTCCCCTTTTACTTCCCTTTAACCAATTTCAACCTATAGCATTTATATAACCCTAATTCACATTTTTTTGAACATAATTAATATCGGATTTTCACCTAAGTCATATTCTCTGTTTTCCTAATATCATTTAGATATAAAAGAGGCTTCTTAAAGGAGAAGCGAAATGTCTTCAAAAGAAAAAAAAAAACAGAAAACCCAGTTGCCTTCTGAAAAAAGCACCTTTGGGACACCAAGCTTAGAGACCCCCAAGGACCCCACAGTCCTCCTCCTCCTCTTCTCCACAAACCCCTCCCCCTTCTAGCATTGATGACGTTCCCTAGTTGGGTCATGAAACATGTGCAAGGAAACCTAGGCACAGAGACCGCCAAGGACTCCACAGGTCAACCCTGAGCTACAGAGATCCTCTCCTGTTTTATCGTGTGTCTCTCTGAGCTCTGGTTACTGGTTGTTAGGGAGAAAACTACAGTCCTTTAGCAACGATTTTGGTCTTCCCCACCTAAGGCTTCCTTCCCTCCAGAGGCGCGTGTTGTTTTCTTCTCGTTTTAACCCATCTCATCATTTCCCCCTTTGAGCAGGTGATGAATATGTATGGGGACCTCGTGATGGACACGGTGCCAGAAAAGGTGAGCTGCATTTTCCAGCCCTTTTTGGCTGGCAAAAATTTAAGTTCAGACTATGACTTTTGTAAAAATGCTCTTGTCAAATTTCCAAGTCATAGGTCCCCCAAAATTCTACCGTTTCCCCTGAAAATACGACCTACCCTGAAAGTAAGACCTAGCTTGAGTGTTTTTTACACGTGCGCCCAATATAAGCCCTACCCCCCCAAAAAATAAGCTCTAATGAAGATTCCCACCTGCTCGAATGGATACCCAGACAACACGATGCTTATGAAGCACTGCGAAATGTAGTCCGTTTCCCCGAAAATAAGCCCTAATTAAGACCCCTCCCACTCCAGAGTGGATGGGTAAAAATTAAGATACCCAGATAACACGATGCTTATAAAGCACTGAGAAATGATTGTAGGATAGATTTGAGATGATAATATGAACTGTCACAAAACAATTTAGGCCTAGCTTGATTTTTTACACGTGCGCCCTGATATAAGCCCTACCCGCAAAATAAGCCCTAATGAAGATTCCCACCCATTTGAATGGATACCCAGACAACACGATGCTTATAAAGCCCTGAGAAATGATGCCTCTTTCCCTGAAAATACGACCTACCCTGAAAGTAAATCCTAGCTTGGTTTTTTTACATGTGTGCCCAATATAAGCCCTACCCCCCCCCCCCAAATGATCCCTAATTAAGACCCTTCCCACTCCAGAGTGGATGGGTAAAAATTAAGTTAGGGTGGGGATGGGGGTGGTGGAGCTGCCGTACTACTAACCTTTGGACAGGTATAGCCAGGCCTGGCACACCCCCAGCACCTGAAGGCCTCTGGAGCTGATGACAAAGCTCTGCATCAATCCAGAGGTCTGTTACCGGCTGCAGAGGCCTTCAGGAAAGTCTTGCTGGCCGCAGAAGAAGTTCCTGAAGGCCTCTGACTGCAAAAAGGAGGCCAGGGGTGACGCACACAAGTGAGGTTAGTCTCCCAAAAATAAGACCTGGTGTCTTATTTTTGGTGGCAAAAAAATTTATAAGACGGGGTCTTGTTTTGGGGGAAAAATAATTAAGTAAAATAAGTACAATAAGGCAGCCATATCGCAACAAAGTCATTTTATTAGGAACATATCAAATTGGCAAAAATTGGTGTCATTCTGGCTCTGACCAAACCCAGGAATTACACCCAGTTAAAAAAAAAGCAAAAAGTTTGAAACTTTCTGCTCAGGGTCACCACGATCTACAATCAATTCTCAGTCCATCTGTCCAAACTCCACCTTCCTCCAGCTGCAGGCACCTTCTCTCTTCCCACCTAGCCATAACATCCTCCCCTTATCTCTACTAGCCCTCCCCTCATCCACCTTCCCGCTGCAGGAATGGGGCGAGCCTGAAGCATCGTTCACCCCCTCCCCCCTTTACAGAACACTTAAAGAAAGCTTAGAAAAGAAGAAGGAAGGACCACAATGAAACATGGCTACACATAGCTTCAGGGTCGACAAGCTGGGAGTTCAAGAGCATTCCCCATGCAGGATGCCCCAGGCTGAGCCTGGGATGGATGCTTTGCCCCAAAAGTATTTTGAGCTTTTGAATCATGAGCTTTGCTGGGGAAGACCCACAACTGATACAAAATGTAAAATGTATACATTCTATAAAATTTATATTTTATTACGGTTGACTAACATAGGTAGGTAGTAGTAGGTGGATGATAGGTAGGTAGATGATAGGTAGGTAGATGATACATAGAAATGTGATAGATGGTAGATAGACAGACATAGGTAATAGATGATAGGTAGGTAGATATGTAGATAGGTATGTAGATAGGTATGTAGATGTTAGGCAGTTAAATAGATAGGTGATAGATGGTAGATGGATGACAGGTAGGTAGGTGATAGATGGTAGATAAAGCGATAGATTGATCAATAGATGATAGGTAGGTAGATGGGTGATAAATGGTAGATGATACGTAGGTAGGTAGATGATAGGTAGATAGGTGATAGATGGTAGGTAGGTAGATGATAGGTAGATAGGTAGATATGTAGATAGATGACAGGTAGGTAGACAGATAGGTGATAGATATAGGTAGATAGATGATTGGTAGGTAGATGTTAGAGACAGACAGATGATAGATGGTAGGTATGTAGATAGGTAAGTAGAAAGGTGATATAGGTAGATGACTGGTAGGTAGATGATAGATGGTAGCTAGGTAGGTAGATGACAGGTAGGTAGATAGGTAGGTGATAGATATAGCTAGATAGATGATTTGTATGTAGATGATATGGATGGATGGTAGGTAGATGATGGGTAGGTAAGTAGGTGATATAGGTAGATGATTGGTAGGTTGATGATACATGGAGAGAGAGATGGTAGGTAGGTAGGTAGATGACAGGAAGATAGGTGATAGATATAGCTTGATAGATTGGTTGGTAGATGATAGATATGGATGGATGGATGGATGGTAGGTAGGTGATATAGGTAGATAGATGATTGGTAGGTAGATAATACATAGAGATGACAGGTAGGTAGGTAGGTGATAGATATAGCTAGATAGATGATTGGTAGGTAGATGATAGATAGAGATAGATGGTAGGTAGATGATAGGTAGGTGATAGATATAGCTGGATAGATGATTGGTAGGTAGATGATAGAGAGGTAGAGAGATGGTAGGTAGGTAGGTACATGACAGGTAGGTAGATAGGTAGGTGATATAGCTAGATAGATGATTGGTAGAGAGAGAGAGATGGATAGATATGGATGGTAGGTAGGTAGGTGATATAGGTAGATGATTGGTACGTAGATGATAGAGATGTTCGGTAGGTAGATGATAGCTAGGTAGGTGATAAAGGTAGATGATTGGTAGGCAGATGATAGAGATGGTAGGTAGGTAGATGACAGGTAGGTAGATAATTATGTGATAGATATAGCTAGATAGATGATTCGTAGGTAGATGATAGATAGATAGATAGATAGATAGATAGATAGATAGATAGGCCCTGTGTGATATGCCATACACTAAATACATGAATACACCCCCAGGTAAAAGGGTGCCTAAGGTTTGTGTCCTTTATGACTTGTGGCCTTAGACTCCCAGAATTCCTCAGCACAGCTGGCAGAGGAATTCTGGGAGTCGAAGTCCACAAGTCACAAAGGGGTCGTCGTTCCTTAGATCACAGCAGGACTTGGGGCATCAGGGAAATTGGAGGGGGCCTCTGCCTTTTCTGCCCCCCATCCATCTTCTCCCTTTCTCTTTTTTCATTTCCCCCCTCCTTCAGGTTCACTTTTTCAACAGTTTTTTCTACAATAAGCTACGAACCAAGGGGTACGAAGGCGTGAAACGTTGGACCAAAAATGTAAGTTGTTGGGTGGGGGGGGTTTGCCAGCCGAGGGGGATGGGGGGACAGATGGGAAAAGGGATGACAGGTAGACCTCGACATAATGACCACAACTGTCGCAAAGTGAGACCTTGGTTCAGGAGATTTGATGCCCCTTTTTGCACGTTGTTCTCCCCCACTGTTGGTTAAGTGAATCACTGCAGCAGTGGTTCAATTAGCGGCGTGGTCCAATTCGCGGCGTAGTCTTTTAGCGAATCTAGCTTTCCTTCCCCCACCCCCCCATCGAGTCCCGGGACAACTCACTCATCATAAAGATGAGTCCGTTGCACAAGCGTCCGAATTCGGATCGCATGACCCTGATGGCCGTAAGGGTGCAAACTGGTTAGAAGCACACCACCACCACCCGTTTTCAGCGCCGTTGTGACTCCGATCGGTCACTCAAGGGACTGTTGCAAGTCGAGGACTACCTGTCCCAGGCTGGGCTCTTGGGGAAGGCATGGGACTTAGAGTCCAGCGGCTTCTGTTGGACCTGGCCACCCGGAAACCTGTCGGTCGTCCCAAGGTGCATCGGGGGTGTCAGATTAAAATCAGATTAACAGAGTTGGAAGGGACCTTGGAGGTCATCTAGTCCAACCCCCCCACCCTCAAGTATTGGAACACGTCTCCTGTCTCCCGTGGTCCTTTTGTTCAGTAAAACCAGATTAAAGTCAGATTAGCAGAGTTGGAAGGGACCTTGTAGGTCACCTAGTCAACCCCCCCTCCCGCCCTCAAATATTGGAGCACTGTTCTCCTGTCTCGCCTGGTCCTTCTCCTCTTCCCTAAACTAGCCATGCCCAGTTCCTGCAACTGTCCATCATATGTTTGAGCCTCCAGTCCCCTCCTCATCTTAGTTGGTCTTCTCTGCACTTTTTTCTAGAGTCTCCACATCCTTTTTTTTATAGTGGAGTTGCCGTGGGCAGGAGAGGGGTTGGGGGAGAGCTGGTGCAGCAGCACGGCAAGCCATGGTCAGAGGCACACCCCACATGCATGCCTTTCTCAAGGCTGTATCCCAGAGGGGTGATCTCTACAGCCCGGGGGGGAGGGTGCTACGGTGGGGGAATGTGATTTAGGACCCCCCCGGGGGGGGGGGGAGGGGAAACGGGATCATAGTTGAGCCGTGAATTACATGAGGCAGAGTTCACTTCACTTGGGTCCATGCGGACCTGTTGCTCCTAATAAATAAATGCCTTTCTTTTTTGAGGCTCATGGTTTAATTAGGGCCTCTGTGTTCTAGTTGACGGGCAGCCGGTACAGCCAGCTGCGGAATCGGACAGTGGGGAAGAAAGGGGACCAGTCAGGGAAGTCTTGAGAGGCCTCGGACAAGGGTCCTGCATCCAATGCAGAGATGGGGCCAAGACAATCTGGGAGTAGGGTGCTGCCTCCAGAGCCTTTGGAGTCTGGCAGCAGCAAGGAAGAGGACCCAGGGGAGCCTGTTCCTAGTGCACATGCACAGAGCTGCTAGAAGGCGAGAGCAGCTGAGACAAAAGGGTCGACTCGGGAGTAAGACAGGGAGGTGATTGCCCCTCCCATAAGGGATAAAAGTCAGGCCAAAATGACAAACTCTTTGCAGGAAGCAAGGTCGTTCGATAGATTCCTGAGTCCTTGAAGCTCTATGTATTCTGGTCGGTTTTTTTCTGGCACTGTTTTAATTAATTTGGAGACTTCGGTTTTTTGGCAATTGCAATTGCACAGCATTGAAAGGTCGCTGCTTATCTCAGGGAACCGTTTTGGCTGGGAATGAACGTAATTCCCAGCATTGCAATAAAATAGGTTTTGCTTTGAAAACAAATTGGTGAATCATGACGATTGACAAAGCCTGGGTCAGAACAGATCCCAGGAAAGGGGGCAGGAGAGGTGAAATGTCCAGAGGAACCTTGACAGCAAAGTCAGCTCTGCCTCATGTAATTTACCAACACAGGGGACCCCTCTCCCAGCAACACAGCCAGGTAGGTCGAAGGTGGAGGCTCCCACTGAGCTCCTCTGGTTACTTCCCCCTCCACCTCCCCCAGGTGGACATTTTTAACAAAGAGATCCTGTTGATCCCCATCCACCTGGAGGTTCACTGGTCGCTGATCTGCGTGGAGGTGAAGCAGAAGAAGATCACCTACCTGGATTCCCAACGCACCCTCAACCGGCGGTGTCCCAAGGTAAGGCGGACCCCAGGGTGGGCGGGCAGAGTGGATAAAAATCAATGGTTTCTTTTCAAAAAATAAAAAATTTTAACAATCGGATTTTTTAAAAAAAAATAATCGGATTTTTAAAAAAAAATTAATCGGATTTTTTGGGTTTTTATTGAATTGATTTTAATAAAATGCTTTTGGAGTAAATATCTAAGGAATAAAATAGAATTAGAATAGAACTAGAATTCAATAGAATTAGAATACAAGAGAATTAAAATACAAGAGAATAGAATTAGTATAGAGTAAAATTAGAATACAATAGAATTAGAATAGAATTAGAATATAATTAGTATAGTATAGAATAGAATTAGAATAAAATAGAATTAGAATAGAATAGGAATAGAATAGAATTAGAATAGAAAAAAAATAGCGAGTGGATTTCCTTGTTTTTTGTTCTTTTGGTTTCTCTGAACCATTTTGCTTCTTGGAATCAGAATAACCTTTTCTCTCGTCTTTGATATTCTTATTCCGTTTGGCCATTGATTAAAAGAGTCCAGTGTGTAGAAGACAGGCCATTCATTTGTAAATAGATTTAACTGGTTTAAAAAAAAATGGTGGGATGGGCTTGTTTTGCAAGGAGCCAACCACGTAGCAATGTATCTCCCATCCGTTTTCAACCAGGAGGGGACGATACGTCTCTACAGGCAGCCCTTAGCTTAACAAGACTTCATTTAGTGACCGTTCAAGGTTTGCAACGGCACTGATAAAAAGAGGGACCAAACGACCTTTTGCCACCCTTCACGGCTGTTGCGACATCCCCAGGAGCCAAACTCGGATGCTTGGGGCCACCGATGGGTATTTTTAGAAGAGCTGCCGTACCGCATGGGTTACATGCTTCCCCTCTTGCGACCGTCTTCATGGGCAGCGTCCAAGGGGAAAGCCGGATCCCCCTCAACAGCCAAGGACTAGTTGTAGATGTTCTGGGTTTTCTTTCTTTCTTTCTTTCTTTCTTTCTTTCTTTCTTTCTTTCTTT